CAATCAATATTTGGGTTGACGCCGAAATTCCGATTTCCGAAACATTCTGAATAACTCGTTTACATGACAGTTACTCCTGCAACGTTTTGACACAAATAGACGTCATTTCCGCTTGTTACTTTCTATCATCAATAAAATACATTACATTCATGTAAGTAAACGCTGATCGTAAATATCGCAATTTCTTTCCCTTTTTTCTTTCTACGCTGGCTATATGAAGTGTCAAATAAGTGTATGCTCATACTTATGCACTATTGGAATAAAAATAAAAAGTACACGTATACGTTTTTTGGTGTGTGTTCGTGTTTACAATCTGAGATAAAATTTGTTACAGTGAAAAGTCCCCTGTTGTGAAACATTTCTTGCTGCAAACATGATTTCGTTGTAGAGGAGTTTCACTGTAGTAAGTGGTATATCACGCATAGAATTACTTTCTGGACTACAAAGACCAAAATTCCTTGCGGATAGAGAAAGAGCATGTGCAGAACACAAGACAATGCCTCGCTCGAAGGAAGTAACCTAACAGAGTTTACATGATCCTATATAGATGTTAGAAAAAGGGGTAATTCAGTGGTTTTATTCGGGTTAAAAAAAATTGCACACAGTTACATTACCTTTGAAAATCTGAATGTAAATGTAGTGTCCACTTGAAAGATTGTTAAAAAAAAAAAATCAAATAGGTCAGCTCAAATGAAACTGTTGACTGGCAATACGTAGCCTACAAAACTAGCAAGTGAGATCAGCGTTTATTGCTCCAAATTGCACCCTGGTGAATAATACGCATGTGGCGCACGGTGGAAACGTGGCTTTGTAGCGTTTTTTTTCCGAGCAACACCCATATCATGTTTCAGAAATGTCACCAAAGAGGAAACTAATCACTCCAATCAAAATTAACTTCATCCTGATAACAAGGTGAAAAAGTTGGCTTTTTACTCCCCGCTTGAAATGCAACTTGCATATTGTCGGCCAAAGTGTTGTGCGTAATGCGCCAAGTGTTTAATATCACTGTTAAAACACTTTTCTTCCCACGCGCTCCGAAGATTCATGGCAGCTGGAAGTGACAGCTCATCCAACTTTCCGTAAATCTTGGAGATAGTGCAAGCAGAGCTGAATAAAAAACATATGGGGGGGAACGAGAACAGGAAGACGTGAGTTTAAAAAAAAAAGTATGCGGGGGGGGGGGGGGGTTGACCTTGGACTGGAGCAGATAAAGCAGCGGAATACTACAGTCATCTATAAGAGGGTCTATTTCAAATAAACAAAACCAGACGTGTGTGTGTGTGGAAGGGTGGGGGCGCATGAAAAAGGGGTCCCCCCAGCCTACACACCCCGACGATGCCTCTCAGCTCAAAAGTTCAGACGATGTCCCTTTATTGTGGAGAATAGAAAGAGGGAATGGGAGGGGGGCGCCAATTATTGGGGCGATGGCCTCTTCTCCCGTTCTCCTAAACTGCAAATTAGCCGTTTTGGTTAGCCAAGCAGACGCGCTGGATCAAAAAGGTCAGACATGCCCACTTAATCCTGGTAAATTCTCCCTTTTCACATCTCACCAGGCTTGTCAGCTTCTGCGGGGCAGCAAGCAATCACATGCACCACACACCCATAACCACACACTCCCCGCATGCTCTGGACTTGTAGCTTCCCCAATTGACATGTCTCCCAGTAGTCATTTTCCACAGTAAAACACAGCGTCATCTTTCCATATTTGATTCCTGCTCAGGGAAAGGGACACTGGATCGACTCGTCTACTTTGAGAAAAATGCTAAATATGGTCTCCGATCACAAGCGCTGGCTGGGCTTGGATCGGGGTTTAGGAATATTCAAGGGAGTGAGAGCTGTAAGGAGGGGGTAGGGGGGTGGGGTATCCCAAATCTAAGTAAGAGCAGCTGTCTTTTACCTCTCTCGGGGAAAAAGATGAACGAAACTCAGTTATGCTTAACTTCAGGGGGTTGGGGCTTTTAGGGCGTATTTTTGCCACATTGTAGCCTAAGGATAGGCAATCAACTTCTCAGAAGAGGCCATTGTGGTCTAACCCCAAGATGAATGTCACAGGCTGTGGTTGCTGCACAGAAAAAAAAAAGTTAAGTATTATACCCTTAGCCTGCTACCCTAAAAAGGTTCCTGCCTTTGTACCAGTCACTTTTACAACTTGGGAACATACTTTAGCGCATGTAGCATTTGGACCCTGGAAGAGTTACAGTTGGAGTTACACTGGAGTTCAGTAATCAGCACGATGGAGTCCAATCATGTAGCTTCTATCTTGAGGAACAAGAATGGGCAATTACTTTTTATAGTGGAGACTAAAGGTTGGTGGTCAGCTGAACATCTGAAGCCATTGTGGAGTCTTCATTAACAATGGAGGCAGGAGTTAATGAGGAGTCTGAATGTGAATGTGCGCATATTGGTCGGCTGGTGATTGGGGTGGGATCCTGCTTTGGCATTTTTACAGCCCTGGAAACATTCTGCTGCAGTAGTCCAATGATTACATAGGGAGACCAATGAACTTCAATAATCATGTTTTGGTACTGGGAAATGGTGTAAAGAGGAGTTAGCAAGTACATTCAGGAGATCGCAGTTTGAATCTCCACTGGAACGTTTCAATGTGGACTTGACATGTTCGAACGGTGCTTGTGTGGATTTTCTTTGGGTACGCAGGCTCTATTCCACTTCCCCAAAAGGCGCTTCTTCAGGTCAAATAAAGATATGAAATTGACCATAGGTGTGAATGTGAATCGTTGTTTGTCTCTGCGATTACCATCGTTTACCACCAGTCCTGACTCTAACCCGCCCCTGGCCCAAAATCAGCTGGGATAGACTTGAGTTATCCATGACCCGAATGAGAATAAGTGCTCCAGAAAATGAATGGATGTTTGGTGTTGTGGGTCTAAAGTCTGGCTAAATATACAGCAGTTTGTCTCCTGGATGGTACTCTTAAATTGACTTGTAGCTATTTCTGATGGTCTTGTAGTTGGCAGACTTTAATTTATAAGACTGACCACTGTCAATCCACCATTTCAGACAGTCTTAATGCAAACGATCGCAGTTTCCTTTGGTGTTCCTGGTTTTCAGTCTGGCGAAATGTACAACGGTTCATCTCTGGGGTGGTGCACTGAGACTTCTGTTTTTTCATGGTCTTGCGGTTGGCAGGCTTTAATATGAGCTGTAATATGAAGGGGCGGCATGGCTGAGTGATAGTGATCGACTCCCAAACCAGAGGTTGGGAGGTGCGATCCCGGCCATTGTGACGATGTCGACGTGTCCTTGTGCAAGATACTGGAACCATCAGTTTGTTTTGAGGGGTTTGTGGTCTAAGACATGAGTAAACAATACTGATTTTACTGGGCTGTAGCTCACATTCTTTTAAACAAGTACGTCAAATGTGGCTTTAGTGATACAAAGGAACCGATTTTCTACCCTTGACACAGCTTAGGAACACACTTGTACCTCAGCTCTTTTTGTACAGTTGCCTTGGAGTACGATAATAAGGCCTATGAAATATGGTGGTGTCAATTGTACCTTAAAGGACAGAAATTGTAAAAAAAAATTTAAAAAAAAGTATTCGATGAAACGTGCATGTTTTTCTAATGTGGGAAGGACCCGGAGAACCTGGAGAAAACCTGCGCAAATATTGGTAGAATGTGCAAACTCTAAAAAGGAAAGCCAGAGCGCAAACCTCAAACCCGTAAGGCAGACGTGCTAACCACTCGTTCACCGCCCTTTGCCCCACTAATGGAGGCAAATCTCTCTTTGCCCAATTCACTGATTCCCAGCCAGTGTGCCGTGAGAAACCCTCAGGTGTGCAGCAGGAAATTATACAATTTCACTAAATTGGTCTGCAAACTATTGGTTACATACAGTATATGTATGTTCATCTAGCGATGCCAGTTAACATACACTGTTGACAGCCACAGCAAATACTCTTTCACTCAAAAGGATGACAAAAGGGGGAAAAAAAACAACCTGCAGGGCGGCACTCCTGTGCTGGGGTGATAGCAACGCACCCCAAAATGTTTTAAAAATGCAACGTGAAATGGTTTTCTGTTGCATCATACATGACATATCAATCAGTGGCATTTATATGTGAAAAATGTGCCACTCTCGAAAGGAGAGATGCCTATTCAAAGCGCAAGTTAATGAAAATTGACATGTCGACTGGGAAGATTAACTTGCCTCAACATCGTAGGCATCAAACACACAGTCAGGGACCAGATATCCTAGGCTACAAGGACATCATGGATGATAAAGGCAGACCAGAGTGCATCTTTTGGAATGCATGCTAGGAGGAAACTAAGTCAATATTATTTTTGTTTTTCATGGAAAGGTCCCATGGCATGAAAGTTTCCACTGTCAATATATCACAAGCTACTGGGATATAACCTGTTGTTAATTGTTTGCTAAACTGGGGGTTGTGTAATGGGTGTATTCAGTTGTTCAGTACGAGTACTTTTCGAGGTCAAAATGGCATCAAAAGTTTTTAGATGAGCTCTTCCAATCGAAACTGCGGTGTGCCAGTATGTTCTCTGTTAAGTCAGTTTTGAGTTTTAACATATTTCCCATGTTGTCATTCATCCTTTTACACACCAACCTTAAGTTAGAAAGCCACCTCGGACCAAACAGAAATGCTGCTGGCATAAAGCCACGGTCAAACTCTCTTTCGAGCAATTGAGGGAAAATTGAGCACACATTGGGAGTACAGTATGACCACTATCAGTGGCGGTTTTTGCCATGTGTGTGGCCGCACAGGGGTCAATTATGGGCATTTGTCATCTATCTGTATGGGAAATTGTGTGCCCCTTTGTGGACTTGCCCTCTGTAGTAGATGCTTTTTCAAAGCGAAAGTAAATAAAATCCACTTTATCAACTCAACACTGGCATCGGTGTTTCAAAACACCCCAGTGAAAGGATCATTCTCTTCAAAAACTAACCTCAAAGTCATCAGTAAAAATGAAGAAAAGCCCCTCACAGAGCTTTTAGTCGAAGGGGAAATCAGTTCATCTCACCTGTTTGAAGTCGACCATAAAGGTGATGAGGGTGCCGTCTCCTTGCTTGAACTCCACCGATATGGAGTCTTTCTCGCTGTCCGCCTCCAAGACCTCTTCGGTCACCAGTCCGTCGGTGAGCCGGACCCGAACCCTCAGCTCGGAGCCAAGTCCCAGGGCGCAGACGACAAGCAACGGGAACAGCAGCAGAACCTTATCAATCGCGCTCGCACACATCCCCGAACACGCAGAAGCGAACCCAAAGCGAGGAAGATTCGAGGCGCAATGAAAATGTGCGCGTTCATATCTAAAATCTGCTCCTCACATAACGTTCGCGTTTGAAACGGCGCTCAATCACTGCACTTCACTTGCGGCGACTTCCCCTTTTTTTTCTTGTCCATTGAGAGGCTTTCGGTTCCGATATGATGGGTTCATCGGTCCAATGGTAGCACGCTGTTGTTAGTCTGTGCTCACAGAAGTCAACTTTTAAACGCGTGAAATCCAGCAGCGTCGTCACTTCCGAGCTCCACACTGCAAACTTTTACCCTGTGTGTGAGTGCGGTGTTGGTAGTAAACTCTTAAAGCCACACACACACACGCGCGCACACACACGCACACACACACACATCGCCCCTTACCGCGCGCACACACACGCCCCCGCACACGCACACACACACACACACACACACACACACACACACACACACGCACTTACCGCCCCCCCCCACACACACACACGTTTCTCTGCCCATCCCCCTAAAGAAGGAGGCCTCTCATGTGATCCTCCTTCTGCACTCTCAACTAATAATACCCCTCTACTGAACACTTTTTCTCCCTATTCTGTATACACGTGTTTCTCAAACGTTTTACCAAGTACTGCACGACCCTAAAACAAATTCTACAAAACTCTCCAAGTACTACCATAGTGACTCATATTAAAATTAAGCAGCAGAAAGCCAAAATAATGTTTTATTACCCCCAAAAATATGAGACCTGTATTTGATATTGCGGTAAGCCACTGTGACATTGTCCAGTTTAAACATCAACCCTGGGCTTGAATATGAAGGGGGGGGGGGGACTGAACAGTACTGTAATTATTTTCAATTGCAACGTATCACACGTTCACCTCACAGTGCAGAGGTGCAGGGTTCGATTCCGGCTCCGGCCTTCCTGTGCGGAGTTTGCATGTTCTCCTCGTGCCTGCGTGGGTTTTATGCGGGTACTCTGGTTTGCTCCCACAATCCACAAACATGCATGGCAGGCTAATGGAACACTCGAAATTGTCCCTGGGTGTGATTGTGAGCGTGAATGGTTGTTCATCTACGTGTGCGATTGGCTGGCAACCAGTTCAGCGTGTACCCCACTTACTACCAGAAGACAGCTGACATAGGCTCCAATGTGGTGAGGAGTGGCTTATTTGCATGAGGCAGGCCGGCCCCTTCCAACCATATTGATTACAGTGATGCTCGCGAAAGAGGGTAAGGGGACTAAGTCGTTTATTTCACTAATTTATTATCGTTGGCAATTAAATAACTGTAATGAATTCATATTTGGGTGTAGTGCAGAACTGCACGGCACCATACTGGGAAGCTTTCTAATATCATAATCCATCTCTCAAAATTCCAATGATTATGTCATTAATAATTTTCTCGTGCTCTTTGGACATGATATTTTAATCCATGACATAAAATACACCATAATGTGCTTACGTTTCATGTTGAGCCACTGGATTAGTTTCATTTTCAATGAAATCCCCCAGAAAAGATTGAGCCTTTTGTTAATTATTTAATAAGGTCAATACGGTTTAATTTGCCAAACCCGAGACAGAAACTACACAAGTGAAAAATAGGAATTGCAATCTGAATGTCGATCTGTGAACCACACGGACTACATGAATACTTAACTGCAAAAAGAAGCATGTCATCAATTCCTGCGCTTAACCATCTGAAGTCTTTATCTCTTCTGGGTGGGCCGAGACCCCAGGGCTGATGACCCCGAATGTGCCAGCACTTGAGTGTGGCGCAGATTGCAAGGCATGGTTGTTCCAGTGAAGGAGAAAGCAAACAGAGAGAGGCCATCAGGCAGAGCAAACAAAGATTTTAGTCAGGGTCAGGAAAAACCAAAACGGGGGCCCAACAGATTGAAGGATCGGAGCTTGCGAAAACAAAACCTCTTTTGTGACAACATTTAATCATCAAGAGGTGTTCATGCAGCCTCCAAACCTTTCAATGCTGACTACAACTTTTAGCCAGGCTTTTTTGAGGCGAGTGAGTGACTGAGAGAAAGAGAGAGAGTGAGAGAGTGTATCAATGCTACAGGATGAACCAACGTTCACTTCTTTACTATCCCTATCACATACACTTCTTTTGTAACTTTAGAAAGTCCGCTCTGTAATTCAGTTGTCAGGCCCCAGCATTCATCATTGAATGAACTCAAGTATTTGCTGGTTACGTCATTTCCAAGTCCCGTACACACGTTAGCCCAAACTGCAGTATTGGAGCCGCGTGAGTGCCGCTTGCAGTGACACATAACAAAGAAAGACGCAAGCCACAGTGTGCACATGATGTTCATTATTAACTCGCAATCATTTAATTCAAACAAACACACACATACACAAACACACACATACACAAACACAGACACACACACACACACACACACACACACACACACACACACACGCACACACACACACACACACACACACACACACACACACACATATCTCTCTCTCTCTCTCTCTCTCTCTCTCTCTCTCTCTCTCTCTCTCTCTCTCTCTGTATATATATATATATTTGGGAGGAAATATACAGTACCACTAATTCAACGAGATAGGAAGGTGCTCAGCAATGTTAGATTTTAGGTCAGTAAAAAACCTTGAAATTGCATTTCAAAGGTTCCTTTATTTTTCCCACACTCCAATGATGGGCAGGCACCCCAGAGACCCAACAAATCGTTAAAAGGCCCTAAAAAAAGGCACTTTTCTGCAATAAAATATGTCAAGTGCAAAATTCCCATGGAGAAATTTGACTGACAGTTTTAAGACGGGCACTTAACTTTAAATGTTAAAAAATTTGAAGCACGTTGTCCTCTTTTGTCGGCTTAATTGTGAGCGATTTGGTTTTCACTGCTCACGCTACATTCCAATTCAACTTGTGTACATCTTTATGTGCGGTGACATGCTCACGGCTAAATGGAAAACCATTGCCATTGACAGGGGATTTGCCCAACTTTTTTTTTTTTGGCAACACATTTCAACCAGTAAGCTGCACCTCATCACATATTGTAAAGGCAGAAGCAAGGCGAAAGAGTCACACTCTTTATTTGAACAGTTTGCTTTCTTTCCAACCTCCTTCCAGAGATCGACAATATTTTCACAAAGAGGTGATCTCCACACACGAATACCATCTAATACCATCGACACATCTGCAATATTTTCCTTCAAAAGTCTTCATTTTAACACACGGAGACAACGAGTGGATGTTTCCCAGCTGCTTCATAGCAGAATGAGGACAGCCAGCGTAGGAGGAGAGACAGCGTCTGGACTTGATGTCTGCTCTCCTCCGCACACATGCAAAAAAACTGTTGATCCAAGGATCACAAGAGCCAAAAACACACGCTGCTTTCCTCGACTCCTGATGATATTTTCATATATTTTCTCCCTCTTAAGCTGTGCTCGGGGTGTCGGGACTGCAGCCAGGCAGGCGGGAGCTCGGCGGGAGATATCCCCTTACGCATGAGGCGAACCGGAGCCAGCAACAAGAAGCGAGGAGGTGCACGGGCCCGCATGGAGCTGGAGTACAAGGTTAGAATAGTGACAGTTAGAAACGTGCCTTATTTGGACACATTTGACAATCAAACCACTGTGAGGAGAAGTAAATGCATGTTAAAACACAAGATATAATAAAGTAAAACACTCATAGCAATTGGATCCATACGACTGCTTTTTATTATAATTACATACACCAAACTTTGATCAACTTAATATATGTGTAAATTAACAACATGGGCGGCACAGTGGTTGAATAGTTAGCACATTCGCCTCATCGTGCAGATTTGCAGGGTTCGATTCCGGCTCCGGCCTTCCTGTGCGGAGTTTGCATGTTTTCCCCGCTCCTGCGTGGGTTTTATCCGGGTACTCCACCTTGCTCCCATATTCCACAAACATGCACGGCAGGCGAATGGAACACTCTAAATAGTCCCTAGGTGTGATTGTGAGTGCAAATGTTTTTTCGTCTATGTGTTCAAGTGGCCCGCAACCAGTTCAGGGTGTTCCCCGCCTACTGTCCGAAGACAGCTGGGATAGGCTCCAGCATGCGTGCAACCCTCATCATGATAAGCCGAGTAGAAAATAGATGGATGGAACTATCCAAACTAACAACATATGTTGAAAGGATCTACTCATCTAAACATTTTTAAAAAGTCACGCCTTGCTTTACTACGATCACCAATAGTGGACGCTAAATTGCTTTTCCTCACTCAAACAGAATGCATTTTTGGAGTATCTGCATTGGATGATGGAGACTCATTTCCAGCAAAAACCTAACACTGGCACAAAAAAAAAACAAGAAAAAACATTCAGTAAGGCATTTATGTTTTCAATGTAAAGACATGTAAAATCATTAATAATATTAAAGATGGTAAAATTCCTGTACAGTTAGCTGGTGACAGTTTATAATTTCTTTATCTTCTACTATGTTAATCATTCTTTTGAAATATAATCAACTTTGGACTGTGTGTGTGTGTGTGTGTGTGTGTTGTTAAAAGTTCCAATTGGAATATTCTTGAAGCAACTCAAGTTAGCGAGCACATTATAATGGTCCCATTAAATTCAGGTCATCTTTTTGAAGCGAAGACACAGGAAAGCAAAGGGACATCAGAATAAGCATGTTGAAACAAGCAGAGTGGCCCGTTCTCATAACATTAGGGTCTACAGTCACAGGTCATGATTTAACTGTTATATATCCTAAGGGGGAGGGAAAAAAAAAATCAAAGCCCCTCTACCCTCCTCCTGCTGAACAGTTCCTCATCCTAAACGCATACTTATTGGGAAGGAATTTGATGGAAACTCCCATAAAGTTAATGATAGAGTGAGAGGAGGTGTGTGTGGGTGGGGGGGCGGGGGGGGGATCCTTTTGATTTGTGTAAAAATAAATAAACATGTTGGGGAGTATAGCTGGGAGCATTAGAATGTTTCCTGGCACGGTCCCAGCATGTGATGAAAGATGATTAAACACAGGGACAGGAACGTATCATTTTTCTCATTTCTTTCCCTATTACGGGGAGGTCATGATCTTATCGCTGTGGTGGAACTACTACCTACCAAGCATTACCTCACTGGCCTCATCTTTCTATCTGCACACTTTGCGACCTTGCAAGTGTTTATAAAAATAAATAAACACAAAGGAAAGGTGTTTTGGCCATGAACCTCCAACATCAGATGGTTTGGGTTGGGAGGCCTGGAAAACATCTGTTCAGCAGACGCAGCAGGTATCTGCTTGGCTTTTAATCCTTCAGAAATCCTGACTAGGTTTCTTTTTAAAATGGTTGCCATGTGTTGTCCATGTG